TAAGCTCCAGGCTCCATGAGAAACCAATCCCCCCAAAAAACAAGGCAGAGAGCAACTGAGAAAGACACTCAATAGGGACCTCTTGAGCCTCACATGCATGCAAACATGTACATACATGCACCACAAACACGTAGATACACACAAATAATACTTCTTTAAAGGATGTATTTTCTGGTTGCCTTTCAGTTTTTGGACATGCTTTAGCATTTTCTGGTGTCTCAAAAACTACTTTTAATAGAACACAAGCACCCTCTTCCAGTGGCTGGAGGCTCCTTTCTGAGGCAGATTTCAGGGACCCACAGCTCATACTCAGAGCCAACACCACACTGGGATCCAAGCATGAGCCAGACTGTCCTCTGGTGTGAGGAGCTGGCAGAAGCCCAGCATGCCTTGGAGACCATGACTATGGCCACAATGTTTGGCAGATGTTTCTGGGGCTGGCTCTCTCCTATTGGGCCCACCCCCCATTGGGCTGCAGAGTTACGGTCCTCATGTTCCTCTGCTCTCTCCAGGCAACCATGCCAAAGTCACAAGAGGCCCAGGGGGCTGCACGTTGAGAACCCTGATCAAAGATGAAAAGGTCAGTTTGTGGTCTCAGGAATGGTGGTGGGGCTGGGGGACTCCAGGCAAGAAAACAGCATGGCCTCATTTCCCTATGTTGTCCATTGCCCCCTGGGTCATTCTTCCTGTTTCTAGACCCTGCTTCTGCCTGTTGCTTCTGCCCAGCAGTATCCCCCACCCTTCCTGAGACTGCTAGCTTTGAACCTCCAAGGTGCTGGCTCTGCTCTCCCCTGTGGCTCCTTTCATCTGCTTGGCTAGTGTCTGACTTTTGGTAGGCAGAGCAATGAGACCTTACAGGGATGGGGAAGGGAATTAGAAACGAGCTAAGATCTAGAGGAGAGCAGAATGTCCAAGACTGGCTGAAGCACTCGGCTTTACCATTAGCAGGTGCTCAGCAAATGGCATGGAGGGGAGGGGCAAGAGGCAAGTGCAATGCCCTAGGAAGGACCCAGTAGCTTCAAGGCACTGAGCTCTAGGAGGGACCTTGGGAGAGGTACCAGGCACAATCTCCTGGAGTGACTCTCCGGCTCCACCTAGAGGAGCTTTGGCCACTGTGAAATGGGTAAGGCCTGGAGCCAGGGGCCCAGCCTGTGCCTGTTGGGAAATTTAGCCTCTACCAGCTCAGCAGCAGCAACAGTATACAGAAGAATCTGGGCTCTGAAACGTGACAATATTCATTCATCAGCTGCTGGTTAGGCAGCACAAGCCTGCTCCCAGGGCAGCCCGGTACCTGGAGGCAGAAAGATACCAGGATATGATGTGGGTAACAGGAGGCAAGCAAAGGTGGGGATATAGAGGAACCTGTTCAGTGCAGGAAGAGATGCTGCCTGGGTGGATGTGAAGGGCTCAGGGAGGGATGGGGGAGGTGGCATTCCAAGAGTCAGCCAGGCCTAGTTGGGCCATAATCTGCCAGGGGATAACAAGGACCACTCTGAGGTCATGGGGGCACTCAGCTGCTAAGGTCAGAGGTCATTTCCTGGCTATACCCAGACTGAGGTACCACCCTGTTCTAAAACATGCAACATGCAATGTACAAGGATGGATGACATTGTGGAAAAGGGCTGCCAAGCTCTAAGCAGGGCAGGACTAGCTACACCAAGAAAGGCTAGTCACAAGGGAGCCACACTGTCCCTATGAGAAAACAAGTGGGTGGGTAAAAACCATCCCCAGGAGATCCCCAGGATGGAGCCCCGCTCTTGATAGTGTCTGTGCTCACTGGGTCATGGTGTCTTGTCCAACCCATCCCCCACCTCCTGGGCTATGAACAAAACCAACAAGCTAAGCCCAAGCTGTAAATTGACACCAGGTGGCAGCACTGGCTGGCTTGTGGCATGGTGATGAGCAGGACATGCTAGATGAGGGTTTTCTTTTTAGTTGTGACTTTTTGTTTTGGACTTTGGAGATAAGTGTTTCTCTGTCATCCAAGCAGGCCTTGAACTCTTTTATCTTCTTGCCTCTGCTCCTGCTTGCTTAGATTTTTATGCATGGACCACTACTCCTGTTCTGATTTCGTGTTAACTTGTTTGGTTTGGCTAATTTTTTTTTTTTTTTTAAGAGTCTCAGACTAACTTTGAATTCACAAAGTTCCTGCTTCAGCCTCCTCACTAATGGGTTTAGGGCTTAAGGGTGAGTAATACTATGCCTGGCTTGGGAAGGTTTTGTGTATTTTACTCTGCTTCCCAGGTGGCCTCCCTTCTGGTGGTGTTAGGGACTATTCCAGTTGAGCAGCAACTTGATGTTGAGTAGCTCACTGACTTTAAAGTGTGGAAACCATTTCAGCTCACAGAGGCTCTGGCAGGGTAGAACTTGGGGACCCTTGGCAGGAAATCTGCAGCAGTCTGAACTTCCAGTTCTAAGGGAGAATGAATACCCTCTGCCACTCCCCAATAGACTTTCTGGGGTTTTCTTCTGTGGACTCGAGTCAGAAAACCACTGACCTGAACTCTGGGCCCTACCACTGGGAAACATAAGGATTCTATAGCTATTAGCCTGTGACTCTGCCCTTCTCTGCTTGTTCAATTCCTTACCGCACCCAGCTCCACAAGATAGCTGTTACTCATTCTGTGTTACTGTCACTCCAGCAAGAAGCAGGAGCCATGTGGGAATAACCAGGACCCCCCAGGAATGCTCAGAACCTCTAAGACACAGGTCCTGCCCCAACCCTGTAGCCTGACTAGTACAGCTGGGATGGGGGACTTTCACCCTCACAGGAAACTCTCAAGAGCCAGAAAGCCTGAGCAAACAGACAAAGTAGCATGAAACTGATTAAACCTTTTGGGGCTTCCTATTAGTTTAAAACACAAGTTCTCATGATGTAGAGGGTGCTCTGTGAGCAGATGCCTGGCTGACCTCCAAATAGCCCCTGCACAGGATGTCCTAGAGCCTACCAGCCCTGCTATCCCACAACCTCCTAAGCCTAAATCGTCCATGGGAGCTCAACAGATGCAGTAACTACCTTCTGGGAGGTAGGGGATGTGTGTGCTATGCATACATGTTTACATGTGTGTGCATGTGGGTGCATGAGTATGTGGAGGTCAGAGGTTTACAGTAAGTGTTCTCTTTGCTTGCTTGCCACCTAATATATTAAGGCAATTTCTCACACTGTTGGGGATTTGAACTCAGATCCTCATGTTTGAGCAGCATAGGCTTTAACCACTGAGCAACCTCGATCTCAATAGCCCATGATAGCAATCTTGATCCTGAACTAGACCTAAGTCTCCCTGATTCGTTTTCTGATTGGAACTAAAGCTCTAGAAGGCTGGGTCTTCTTGCTGCCTAGCACAGCATTTGGTACACAGCAGCACTAAGGTCCCTGCCTCAGTAGAAGGGTTATGGGTAAAGCAGGCAAGAGTTCATCACCCTAGATCCTCTGGGCTCCCTGATGTGTGTCAGGTTTGGAAATGACCAAGGGTAGACCCTTCTAGGCACAGCATGGGGACACAAGATTACTAACCAGAATCTGTACCTACCCTAGGCTCTCCCTCTCTATAAAGGAAATGGTGCCCAGGATCGCTCACCCCCTGCCCCAGGACTGGTGAAGATGGCCAGAAAGGGCTGGACCAGGTCAGTATCATCCCACCATGCTCAGAGCTGGAACCAGAGGCAAGTAGACTGCGTAAGTAGAAGAGAGTCACAGAACACAAAAATTTCTCCCCCAATTCCTTCTTTCTTCCTTTACTGTTCCTGTGACTTTCAGGTCAAGGGTCATTGAAGTAGTAGGTGAGCTTCAACCTACTGAAATTTGCATAGAGGTAAAACAACCAAACTCTGCCTCTTTAGAACCTAACCCAGGCTATTTCCCCCTGTAGCAATTCCCAGGGAATAGAGAAGAGATGAGGCTCACACTCCTTAGAGAAGAAAGCACAGGGACCCTTCTCCACCCAGCAGACACACCACACAAGCAGGGAGGTGTCTTTTATTAAAGATGCAAGCAAGCACAGAGTACCACATGTGGCTCCAGAACATCCGTAAAATAGAAAAATAGAAACAAAATTTTACAGAGAGCAGCCTTCCTCCCCAGACACACAGGAAAGGCGCTGCCATGCCCACCTCACAGTGTCATGCACCCAGCCCACACAAGCTTCTCCCCAGACAGAGGTAATGCCAGCTGCAACCAGACCTGCTTTAGAAACCACCCACAGGAGCTTCTTCAATGGCCAGAGCCTCCCACTACCATGCTGGGCTCTTCCCAACCTGGTAAGGGACAGAACAAGTTAGTCCCAGAGCAGCAATCCTCTGCTCCACCTCCATCTGGCCAACAGTTGGGCCAAATTAGAGCCAGAAGACAGCAGTGTGTGTGTGTGTGTGTGTGTGTGTGTGTGTGTGTGGCACACAGGGCCATCACTCCCTCAGAAACTCGGAGGGTCTCAGTGCCCGCTCACATCAGTGGGCTTAACAGTCCTATCTGCATGGAAATAGGTCTCATAGGTGAGAGCCTTGGTACAGCTGAGTCACAGCGACTAGAGATTTTAGAACCATGCTATGTCACATCACTTGTCAGCAGGAGTGTGGCAGTCACGGCCTTGGGAAACAAGAGACTGTGACAGATACTAATTCTTGTGCCTGTAGAGGACTCCTGACACACCATCAATGCCTTCAGATGCTGTCTGCAGCCTCAGGCCAGCTTCCCTCATGGACCTTTCCTTGGGCACTTCTGTACTAGGCTCAGAAATCTGTGTGTTGGAGGTGTTTCTGAGAATGGCCTGGAACAGGCCCTGGCTTGGTGTCAGGATGGTTCCAGAAGACTGGCTAGACCACAGCTTGACCCACCTCTCCAGCATCCCCACCCCCACCACGTGATCCCAATCCATCCTTAGATTACAGAACAAGGTGTGATGGCTGTGCCTAGAGAGAAGACTACAAAAATTACAGTGAACCCTGAGAGTTCCCTACCATCCTGGCACAGCTCGCTCCTGCTCTCCCATGGAAATTGACTTGCATTTGGTTGACAGATATTTATTTAGATTTCCAGTGAAAAGCGCTATAAAATACAGTGAGTAACATGGGGTACATGACAGACATTCTCGCTGCCTGTGCATGTGGCATGGCCACCATGTGGAGACTCAAATGCTACAGGCCAGGTGGCTGCTGCGGACAGCATCATCACACTCCTCGCTCTCTCCACTGGGCTCGTCCCCTGCTGTTTCCAAGCAGCTTCCAGAGTGTGTCCAGCAAGGAATAAATGAATGCAAACAGGACTTTTAGCTAGTAGAGCGTCTGGGGACCGTGAGCATGCAAGTTCGCGGTTTCTGGTATTATAAATAAAAGTCAAACATGAGGTCACACTTCCCCATCTTCTGTTTATACACTAGATCAAACTTCTCGTTCATGGAGACGGTGAAGATGTCTTTCCACAGCCCGACTCTTCCTGCAACACAGACCAGAGTAGAACTGGCTGTATCCACCAGTGTTGGGACAAAAGGAAGCCTTGGGAATGGATCTGAGAGTCCAGATCTGTGCCTAGACCCCTCTGAACTTGGCCTTCTGGATGGGATGGACCACCTGAGCTAGACCACATGAGTCCTATTTGTGGTGTGACTGGAACAAACTTCCCTAAGTGTGGAGGGAAGCTTTCCTACTGCTACCTTCTGTCAACTGTGCACCAGGCACCACACAGACCCACACCTGTGACCAAGAGGGATATCACCGCTTGTTTCAGGTTAGCTCCCTCCATAAACCTGCCAGAGAGGAAGTACTGTGGGTTGGGGGCAGTGCTCTTGGGAGTCCTTGACTCAGAGGTCCACAGTACAACAGGTGCCTCTGGAGAATTTGAAACAGTTTAAAAAAAAAATCATCCCAAGGACCAGCAGGAAGCTCTTCTGAAGCTATCAATGGTGGAGATTTCTGGAGGCCTAAGCTCAAAACAAGTTGGGGAAGGCTTAAAATGAATGAAACATCCACAGCATAAGTTCAATGTGTCACACACAAGAATACCGTATCTCAACTCCATAGTGAGTCTCCCCACAATCCAGCTGCTGTCCCAGTCTGGTCAGAACCAGCCCTACAGCAGGGTGGAGGGAGGGGCTAGGAGTTTCTATTCCATACCTCCCATCCACAGGAGTGATGAGGTTTATGTCTTGGCTTTGTGCTTTTAAACAAGTGGGATTTGGGGGGAGGGGCAGTTCTGAAGTCAGAACTCTGAAGTCATCTCCAGCAACAGCCTTGCTCAGGTCTTAACCTCAGTATTTGTCCCAGCAGCCACAGCCCTGACATAGCTCGGCTAAACTCCTGACACATTAGAACTTTCTTTTTGGTAATGAGACATCATCTGTATGTGTTGGAAAAGTAAAATAAAATTGTTCTTGCCACCCTCTAATGATACCAAAGGGACCAAATTAGAAGTTCCTAGACCAACCACATGATAAATATAGTTTTCCATGATTATTTTTTTTCCCAGCTGAGAGCTTGTCAGAGGAGTCACCCACCTGGTTTAGGATTTGGAATCAAGACAATTTATGCTGTGACATGAACCAAATTTAAGCAATGCAGCCGGCTCCCCGAGCCCCTGCATCCTCGCCACCTCAAGGCGATCTTCTGAGTAAAGAGGCAAATGTGCTAAAAGAAAACAAAACCACAGAACTGAAACAAAGCAAAACCAAAGCCAACAGTGACAGAGCAAACGCCTCTGAAGGAAGGAATGTGTGGGGACTCAACAGAGCACATGTGACCTGGCACACTACACACACCACACACTCACCACCACATGCAAACCAAAAGGGGGCCAAGGAGGTGGTCAGGGACAGGGTTAACAAAATATGGTGAAAGCGAAACTGAAGAATGGCAAATAAACTGTAAATCATAAGAGTGCTGTGAAGATGATGCAGCCTGGAAACATGGGAAGAGGGATGTGGTTTGGTGATCTGCTCTCTGGAGGAACAGTTAGTTAGGCCTTCACCAGCAAGGCCCTGTGTACTTGACCCCTAGCAACTGCCCTTGGCCCCTAGCTGTCAGAAGACACATTCCTGGAGGCAGCCAGGCTGAAATCAGAGCCAAGCTTCTCTCCCCTATCTTGGGTACCACCCAGAGTCCTAAGATCTTCCCTCACAGCTCCTCACCCTCTGAAAATTACCAGCTCACATTGCTGGCAGCTGGCTTCAAGCCTAGACCATACTTACCCAGAGAGGAGTTATGGAATGCAGCCACTGCTCTGAGACATCCTGGGACTTTAGTACCTGAGCTGCCCACTGAGCAGCAGCTAGCACAAGCCCTGAAGAGCTTGAAAACTGACTCGGTGGCCCTGGGAGGAGCCCTGTCTGGAATACTCTCTCCAAGGTCTGCCTGCCCACCACATGTCTCCTGTTACCAAGGTGTCCCATCTCCATCTGGGCCACCTCCACAGTGTCTTGACTCTGACTACCCATACTTGGCTGCCCTTAGACTGGGTTATTTGTCATCTGTGCCACAGGAAACCCAGAAGCCACTTCCTTGGCCAACACCTTCTGAGCCAGGGAAGGAAGAGGAAGGACAGCTCCTCACATGGGATCCATCTTCCTGTGGTGACAGCTCATGACTCAGAGCCACCAGAAGGAAAGCTGCTAGGTTGGTGGCCTGCCCTGTATTGCAAATCATCATTTGAATTGAGCCAGTGGGCAGGGCTCAGCATGAACACACCTCACCCAAAGCCTAAACAAGCCCCAACAGCTGCTGCCCTTTGAAGTATATAGTACCATGTGTGCAAGAGGACAGGGCATGCCCTACTCCTGGAGCACCATGCTCTCAACAGGCACTGGCCAGTAAGAGCTGCTACCCAGACAGAAATCAGCCCAGAAAGTTCTAGATAGACAGGGAGTACCTGAGCAGGAGGGGAGGGGTGAGAGGGGACACATACCCCGGCCCACGGGCAGGGCCTCAGCATTGCAACACTGGTCCACCAGCTGGTGGCAATGCTCGATCAAGGACTCCAATTGAGCCTTGTCACAGGACACACCCAGGAATCTGGCCAGCTGCTCCACCATGGTCACCAGGTCCTGGAAGACACGGATAGAGAGCAGAGCACTCATCAGAGGCAGCATCCAGGGCACAGAGTTGAACTGGAAACTGTACTCAGCTCAAAACCTGCATGTCTTGGATTTGAACTCATGGCTGTGGGAAGAGGAGGAAGGTGTAAAGATACAAGGAAAAGGTCTTAAGAGCTATAGCTCATTTATAAACAGAAAGAGCAAAGAATATCCATCTCTGGCATGATTTAGATGCCATCAAGCTTCTGGAACCTTCTGTATCCACAAGTGCCCCAGTGGCCATACTAAGGAAAGTGAGTCCTATTAAGTTGCTTACTGGACAGAGAGCCATTTACAGTTCCACAATGCCAACAACTGAAGGCAGGGTACAGCTGGAGCAGGCACACCGCTTCCCTACAGCAGCCATGTTCTCCCTAGGAAATGCTGAGGCACCTCCTATTCCCAGTGGGAAGCCTGAACCATCACTCCCAAGTCCCTGAAAGCCTGCTGGCAACGGCCTTGAACAAACATTAGGAAAAACATTGGAGGCTGTTTTCCCTCAAGAAAGAAATTAGCAGCCAAAGCTTTAGGAGGTACCAGCTAGACACTGGCATGGGATTGAATGTGTGTAACATGAAACCAGATGTGTTAAAGACCCCAAAGCCTCAGACCCATGGGAACAGCATATCCTTCCCCTGGTCCATGTGTGGATGCTGACATATGGACAACTTCCTCCTCCCTCCTTCTGGATGTTTCTGTCCTGAGACTGCATCCCTACAGAGACCCCAGCCAAGATTAGCTAAGTCTGCTTCCTTGTTCAGCAACAAACCCAGTGAATTTCCAAGCTGCTGAAGGTGCACCACCATCAGTGGGCATGCCCCACCCGATCCCGGACTCTCTTATGTGTGTTTGTCCTTTCTTCATTCCCCATCACCCCAGTTAGGTCAGGCCCTAAATCTGTGCAAGGTTGTGGCACACACTGGTTAACTAAGGTTTCTAACTTTAACAGTCTGTGGTGGACGTGACCTCTCTCCGTGGATTCCTGCAGCACCCACGCACCTCGAAGCCTTGATCCTGCTGCCCCACTCCTATCTGCTTCATCTCCCAAGGACACACTGCACCAAGGTCCCATGCACCGGAATGGCACAGTGGGCTACATGAACAACAGGTGTCAGAGAAAGCACAAAGGAAAGAAGAAGAACCCAGGACTGCTAACCCTGGTGTTAAATGGTTAGAAGAACAAGAGAGAAATAAAACTGGCCCTCAGAAGAAACGACCAAGGAAAGGGCTGCAAGAGATAAGACAGATGGTGGCGGTGTTCTGCAGGACTGCTCCAGGCAGCTCGGCATTCATACATGTGGCAAAGGCCACGTGTTTAGGAGACTGTTGGATAGTTACCAGGCCACACTTAACTGTACACCTCACTCATCTGAGTGCACTTTCTACCCATAACCAGGGACCAGAGTGCTTCCTGATCTTCATGAGGTAATCAACCTCATGGAGCATGTCTTCCACCCAATCACAGGGTCAGAATCATCAAATCAGAGCATGGACAGACTCCTCTGAAAGTATAAGGTGAAATACACTCACCCTCTTGTGGTTCTCTGCACACTTGGGCCTCCAGGCTACCTGGACTCTCCCCATGGGTGTGGGGTCGCTACCCTGAGATCTCAGCCACCAGCAATTAGTGAGGTTGTTTGCCTAAGTTTTCCCCCTAAGAGCCCCCTAAGTTTTCCCAGCAGGACAGTTGGGTCCCATCAGGTGAGGGACCTCTGTGAGGGCAAGCTCCATGGCACAAGCCTTTCCTCTACTTTCCCCTGCAGCATGTTTTATGGTACTCATGGGACCTAAATGCACAAGCCCCGCCTAGGGTCACTGCAATAGGGACATCTAGGATGGGGTACTAGGGGGAATGAACACCATACCACCACAACCTTCCCTGTACTCAGGAGCCATCATTACGGGGGGGGGGGGGGGGGGAGGGAGAGTCATAAGCTCCTTCCCTCCACCCAGAGTCCTCCGTGTATTTCTGATCAGATCTCCAAAGTCATATTCAAGTCCACAGAGGACTGCCTCCCCCTTTAACACCATCTCCAGTCTGTCAGACTTTTGTTCCAGCCCCTCCCGCTAACCATTACATTCTCTGACACAGCAGGTAGCATGGCTTGGCCCTGGTCCGCCTGATTCAGAACCTCCAGAAGACATTTGAGCCTGGCTCCCTGCAGCCCAGGCCTGTACACCCTTAGGGACTGCTCTGAGAAGCAGCAGCTCCCCTTGCTCCAGCAAGAGGCCTGCACAGGCTTTTGTCTCCCAGTGCCCTGTGGCACTCTCCATCTTCTTGTGGAAAGGCAGATAGGTGTCTCCACCCTGAGGCCACTCTGTAACTCAGAAAGCAATGGCCAAGAGCCTGACACATGCTGATCTGAACACATGAACACACATACAAAGGAAGGGTAGGGCAGCCACTGACAAGGTGGCCTGTGAGCAGATGAAAAAGCAATGAGAAGGAAACCTATGTAGATTGCTATAGAACATTCTGGATGGACAGAGCAAATGCACAGGCTTGAAACAGAAGCTGGAGGGGCAGGTTTAAGCAATAACAAGGTGTGTGTGTGGGGGGGGGTTAAGGTATCCAGGGACTGGGGACCACTACAGAGATTGAATGATCACCCACAGCCACATGGGCTCTGACAAGATAAGTGGTAATACATTTTAGCACCAGTTGGCCCAGCTTCTATGATGATGACTTGATAGATAGGCTAGGAGGGAGCCAGGAGAAAAGTCTGGGATTGTGTCTCAGTAACAGGCTAGAGAGATGCAAACATGGACAGAAAGACACACAGCCCGGGGTGCAAATGAATGGGTAAGTGGGAGGATTTAAGGACAGAGCCAATAGACTTAGGACACAGACACACAGTGTGAAAGAGACATTGGGACAAATAAAAGAATTTCACCTGAGCAACACTGGAAAGCAGAGCGACCCACCATGAACTAAGAGGCAGTTGAGGCTGTGAGGGACAGTGTCAGAAGCTGGCTTGGGTACATTGAGTCTTCAGTCACCCTTGAACCACACAGACACATGTCTTAGGGCATCCACAGACAACTCTGTGCATGACTGAATCAGTGCTACTAATCTAGCAAACATATGAGACTGCAGGGGAGTGAACAGAAGAAAAGATGACAGACAAGGCCAGGACTGAGGCCTGTGGTGTGGGTCATCTGCAGTTAAGTGAGGGGAAAACAGCAAGAAGATGCCAGATGTGAGGCTGGACAGACGGCTCAACAGTTAAACGCATTTAGTTCTCTCGCAGAGGACCAAAGTTTGGTTTCTAGCACACACACAGTGACTCACAACCACTCCTAACTCCAGTTCCAAGAGATCCACTACCTTCTTCTGATCTCTCTAGGCACAGGCATGCACATAGTACTCATACATACATGCGGGCTAAAAACACACAAATGTAAAATAAATAGGAGAGAACAGGGTGAGGGGAGATGAGGGTAGCAACTTGGCAGCCAGATAAGAGAGGGAGAGGTCATATCATTAGAAGGCTAGATGACAGGACCCCAATAACCATCACTTACTGTAGCAAAGTAGGGGATCCCTGGAGAGCATAACAGCACAGTGTGGAAGCGGTGTGGCCAGGGCAACAAGAGGCTTGAGACAGTAGGGGAAGTGAAGAGATGAGTAAGGCACTGAGAGGGAGAGAGGTTTCAGAAAGAAACCACTGGGTGATGATGGTGTACGCCTTTAATCCCAGCACACAGGAGGCAGAGGCAGGTGGATCTCTGAGTTCAAGGACAGTCTGATCTACATAACAAATTCCACAACAGACAGGGATATACAGAGCAACTCTGTGTCCAAAAGTGAGACAGAGACAGAGAAACATCAGTACACCCATGCATGGCAGTGGAGATCCTGGGGGATGATGCAGCTTTCATGTCACTCGACATACTCACACACCGAGTGTTCCCCACCTCTACAACCACACCCAGCAGAACCTGGACAGAACAAGACTTTACATACAAATCAGCCAATGCTAATCTCCTTCCTTGAGCACCCAGTAGGGACACCACATACTAACACACGGGGCACAAGCATCCCCAAAAGCTGGTGCAGAAAGGGAAAGGACTGGATACTCCAGCACACTGCCTCACACAGTCACCAAGGTGAGGGTATTGAAACAGCACATGAGAGTCGCAGGGGTCCTGCCTCTGTTCCTGTTTCTTGGCTGTGCACAACTTCACACCACAGTAAGCCAGTCTGGAACTTGTCCTGGGAACCAACCTGTCCAGACAGAGGTCATGTGCTGGACCAGGGACTTGAGCCCATGCCTTTTCTGTGGCCCACATGCATCCCTGGATGTGGAAGGAACTGTTCAGATCCCTCCCAGGTCACCCTCTGTGGCCTTCTGGCTCTGCCTAACAGGGCCATGCCTCCACTTGGAGCAATGGAGAGGTCTAGTACCACGGTCAGCTCCAGAACCATGGACAGCATCTCTCGACACAATAGAGGGCATCTCCCCAGCTACTCACCCGGTGCATGTCTTCATACTTGAGGAAAAGCACATTTGAATCCATTCGGTGTTCCCAGAATTCCTGAACGTGCTCAAACCAGGAGCCATAGCCCACTGTGGAAACAGGGAAAGGGGCACAGCTGGGGAGGGAACTGTGCAGGCAATCTTGCCCCCACAGGGCAAGATTGCTCCTGCCCAGTTGCTTGAAGGAAACTGCAAGGTCTCCTAGAAGGAAGAAAGCACTAAAGACCTTCATCCCTCCTGCTCCTGCCAACACTCCTTCACCAGCCCAAGAATGAATGCCCTGAAGACCTGGCAAGGCAGAAGAGCTCTGAGGATATGAGGGCGCGGTGTGTACACTAGTGACAATGGGAGAAAATAATGGCCAGAGAAATCAGGACAGAGATAGGTAGGGTAGGCTGGTGTGTGAGGAGCTCTAAGATAGTTCCAGAACAAGGCCCTGCCCCATGACTTCTGATAGAGTCCAGTCATTCTCAGTGAAAGTTGGGATCTAAAGAGAGATGGGAGCCCTATACCATCAGGCAACATGTGCCTCAGCACAGCCCTGTCTGGTCGGAGCACTAGGTCTGGGCTAGACCTTGGCCAGGTGTGAAAGGACTTGGCCCAGTCTGTAAGCTATGCCACAGCATTCCTACTGATGAGTTCCAGTGTATGCCCATCTCTTTGGTTGAGCTGTGTAGCCCTGTGATAGTCTTTATACCACACTTCCATGGGGGCCCCAGAGCAGGACTCAGCAAGATGCTATACAGGAGTGGTATCCTAACCATGCTGAGCAACATTAAGGGACAAACTGGATGAGACACAGAGGCAAAAATGAGGCTCCACCCTCCAGGCTACCTACAAGCTCCCTGGGTAAGGAATTGTCCTAGGTCATAGTGGACCTGCACAGGCACACCCCACTCAGACACACCTGGATGACCTTTGCAAATGCCTCTTAGAAAATCTGTTCACTTTACACAGAGCTGAGTCTCAGGAAAGGGCAGTGGCAGGCCAGGGCACAAGAGGCCTTGGACCCTGACCTGGATCCATGTGTTCTTCCAAAGCTGAGTCCAGGCAGCTGAAGTCCTAGGTAGGAGGAAGGCAAGTGACCCAATAAAGAAGGAACTCTCTCCACTCCCTGAGAAGGCACAGGACTTCCAGATGGTCTGGACAAAGATACTGCACAAGGAAGGCCAGCCATGACCATAAATGAAGTTAGGCATGCTGACTTCTACCAGGGATAACAAGAGCTCCCCATTGCCTCTGTAGCTGCAGCCACAGAGGAAAGAGACACGTGTGCACTGGTGGGAGCTAAGCATCCAGAGAAGGGGCCCTGCCATGACCCCCTGCTTCTCTGTGAACCTCACTCTATTGAGACCATGAAGCCACTTACCCATGATCAGCAGGATACTATAGCTTAACACAGTCCCCACCTAGTAAGAGGTCACCTTTGATGTACTCCTCACACTGCACAGATCAGTGTCTGTCCACAGACCACTGCCAATACAACATCTGTCAAGTGGCCCTGTCCACAGACTCCCCATGTACTGTGTCACTGAAAGACTGTTCACAGTACCACCATACTGTACCAGTGACCCTGTCCAGAGGTTCCACACAGCATGTCACTTGACCTGTGCTCCCTTAACCTCAGCCCTGAAGTCTCAGGCCACCAACATTCTCATACAGATCTTCCTCACAGTGCCACCTACCCTGCTCCATCCTCTGCTCTGTCCAGGACTGGGGACACCAAGCCCAGGGCCTGACATGCTAGGTAAGCATGCCTGCATCTTAAGCCTTCTCCCTACCTTTCATTTTAAGACAAGGTCTCATTAAGTTGACCAAGCTACCACTGGATTCACTCTGTAACTCAGGCAGGTCTTGAGCCTGCCCACTTCCTGCCTTAGACCCCAAGCAGCTGGGATTACAACCCTGTGCCACTATCCTGGCTAGGAAATAATGTTTTTTTGTTGTTGTTGTTTTTTTTTTTTAAATGATCCTTCTCTTAGCTGCCACTTTCTTTTGAGCCTTGGGCATGGAGGAAAGGTCACCACGTAGTGGTCACTGCGTGGTTAAGAGTAGAAGAAGGCACATGAACACCCAAGTCATACCCTTTAAGAAGGATGCAGGCCAAAGAGCATGGCTTTGGCCTCTGGGACTGTGCACTGTGAACAGGGAAACCTAGATCAGGGCAGATTTTAGCAGCTTCGGCTGACAGTACAACAGGCTGAATGTAGCAGCCTGTTGTCACTACCGTGCTGTTCCCACACACCTTTGAGGCAAGAATGGGTGCCAGGGCTGGCAGGTACAATGTCGTGAACCAGAAGGGGGCTGTTCAAACACCTGGAAGGCTGCAAGGGTTACCTCAATAGTTCACAAGGAACCAAGCTGGCGCAGGCTCAGGGACCCTGGGGAACAGGTGCTGACATTTCCTACCACACATGTGACCCAGTCCTGGGCACAAGGCACAACTGAAATGATGTTTAACAGAAGGAAACAGATCACTGGGGACCTCTCGCCCCTGTGGGTTTCCAACTGTGGGCAGCTCAGTGTGCCTGCTGCAGCCTAGCCAACTCTATAGGGCCTTGTCTGCATCACTGCCTCAGTAGGAAGCCCCTGGAGGCTGCCCTGAGGCCTGCTTCACTTGAGATTTCATCATTACACACTCTATTCTCATCTTGCTTCACAGTCTCCCTGCAGGACCCCTGATGAGCCACACAGAGCAGTTAGTGTGTTTTGAGACATGAGCTAAGACTTCAGTGTGATATAAGCCCTTTCCTATGACTGTGCATACCACACAGTCCCTTGCTGGCCACAAGACCCTCAGAGATGTGTGGGTGACTAGGAAAAGGTGGGAACACAGCCCAAGAGGAACTGCTACAATGGCTCCAAGGAGACAAGTGGCCTGTGGGGTAAAGAAACAGAGATAGGGCTGTTCCCTCCTATGGTCCCTGACTTCCTGGAAGATGGGGGCTGGAGTGGCCAGGCCCTGATCCTCCTGGGTTAGGAAAGAGCCAATGGGAAGTATACATAGCATTCCGCCCAGCACACCCTGCTCAGTGTTGGCCTCTGAAGCCCAGCCCATATGATGGTTCACACCCAATAGCAGCCTTCACAGTGATGTCTATCATTCACAGCACAGAGATCTGGGCCACTGAGTTCACAGCTCTCATTCTCACCTCGGTAAGCACCCAGGCAGGAAGGACAGGTGAGTATCTGGAGAACCCTCCTGGTGGTGGGGAACAGGACTCAGCAAGTCCCAGGATCTGCACTACATCACGCCACCTCTAAGATCCACAGCTCCCCAGCCTCGACACCCTGCCATGTGGTAACAACGCAAGCCCCATCCGCACTTGACTTCTCGAAGTGCAGGTGAGGTGCCATCCCATGGTGTGCCTTCCAGGAACACCCCCAGCACCAGCTGGTATTTGTAAGGTTAGAGCTCATGCCCGCTGACACTTACATTTGTCATTCATGAACCGCCGGCAGAACTCCTGGAAGGTGCCTCGGTAGCTCATGGTCCGCAGTGAGCGGTGGAACTGATAGTAAGACACGACCAGGTCCTTGGGGTTGCGAGCCATGTAGATGACCTGTGGATAGCAGAATGATGGCTCACACCCTCCTCCTGGCCAGGTGTCCTCCTGCTTGTCCCCAGCACAGATGTGCTCTGGCCACGAGCTGAGTACGCAGGATAAGCATGTGACTATCTTACTGAACTGCTTTATTTGTGCTCTACTGTAATGCCCTGGTAAGGGCCGGTGGCATGGGAACTTTACCACTAAGGATAGGGACAAGAACAGGAAGCACCATCTACCAGTGTGAGAGAGCACCCCTCACTCCCTGGTAAGCATGGAGGAAGCTTACAGACATGATCCAGGGCCGGGCCAGGGCCAGGGCTAGAGGCACCTACAGTGGTGTCAGAAGCCTGGGATTCGTCAGAGAAAAGTGGGGGATGGGAAATGAGGTAGGTTACCTTGGAGTCCCCATTGTGGAGGTCAGAGGGCAGGAAGCGGTAGGGGAGGTGGCTCTTGATGAGGCGGGGAGATGTCAGTTCCTGCAGAGAGAGACATAAGTGTGTGAGCATGTGCATGCATGCATACACACACACTCCTTCCCTCCCAGGGCCTTTCTAATTGCTCTGGGTGGATCCTGACCAAGCAGGACTTAGTATGCTCTAACCAAGTACCCACTTGAGCCATCTGGACATACCTCGCAGGTGGCTGGACCCCAGGAGCTGTTTGTAATGAAATCCCTGTTCCCAGCCCCAGGAGCTGATCCCTTTACAGCCATAGGGATTTAGTTTGAGTAGCTGAGAATGAGGAAGAGTCTGTGAGTCTGTGGGGCAGCAGAAACACGAAACACGTGCATAAAAGAGAGCCTGTAAGAACATGGGAGTGTCTGACTTCAAAGCCTCTGGCTACCCTCCACTCTGGTGGGGGGGTGGGGTGGGGATGAGGGGGTGATGGGGACAGCAGCTTTCCCTCGGCCCTCTGCTCAGAGGCTCCCATCCTGTCAGCTTCCCCTTGGACCACAAGTCTTGGTGTCCATTCAGCCCTCTGCTCCTCTCTTCCTCCTGAACATTCCTCGGACATCTGTTACCTCCTGACCCACTGCCCCCAGTTCTAACTATCGTGACTTCCTGCCCTGAGGTGGGAACTGTCGGCTCTCTCCTGCACCAGGAGCAGCACCGGCAAGTGGGGCACTTAGAGCAGAAGCACCACACACTCCCAGTGTTTCTGCCAAGAAGCCAAGGGGACCCAGCCGGGACTGCAGGCAGGAGGGCAACCCCCAGGTGCCCGGTCAGTCAGAAACAAGCTCACCAAGGGCAGGGGGGTCTGCTGCCATAACACATGGTCAGCCTCTCAGAGATATATTCCCCGCGGACTCATCTAGCAGAAAGGCAGGTAGGAGAGGCGAGGGCTGCAAGGCCTCAACTACAGAGACAGCAGGGGATGGGATGGAAAGAAAGGTCCAGACACCCCTAAGGGACAGAAGGCACAAAGCCTCTTATTGTTGAGACAGGATCTCATCACACAGCCCAGGTTGGCCTCAAACCCATGTGATTCTCCTGTCTCAGCCACCCCAGTTTGGGGCCATTAAGTAGAAACCACCATACCTAGCTAATTTCATTTTTGATACCAAGAATTTTATTCAATCATGTCCACCCCAGCTCCCTTGTCAGATGAGGGAGGGGGCTGAGGCCTGCTTCCCCAGTGGCAGCCCCTAAGTCAATGACCAAACACACCTCGCAGACTCCCTGACTCTGATGTCAGTACTTGTACCTGACAGGTCCCAGGATCCTTAAAGACTCAGGCTAAGTTAAGGACTCAGACTGTTCATTTCTCCCTCCTTACTAACTAGAACTTCCTGGAGGCCCTCAGTTGTTCCCATGATCACCTATTAGGCCCTTGAGAAGCCACTGCCGCTGGGCAGGTGTAACTGTGGAAGAAGGGGTCACATGAGTACCTTGATGATGTCCAGACCCGGCTGTGGGTACTCCAGCACTGGCAACTGTTCATCAATGTTCATCAGGCCAATCTCATCAGGATCGGCGCCCTGGCTCACCAGGTAGACCACCTCCTGCAGCAAGCTTGTACCTGGGTGAAGAGGTAGGGAAGGCTGCTCATAGAAGCCACTGGGCCAGCCTCAGTCAACAAAACTCCTGCTGCCTGAGAGGCAGGCACAGGGCTCAGCGAGCAAGAGGAACCTTGGAGAGGGACCCAGAAAGAGCCCCAGACTAAGTGTGAGGCCTCAATACACCATGGCTGCCAGTGCCCAGCCTGGAGCTTTCCTCAGCATTCACTGGGGCAGGACAGCTAGGAAAGCAAGTAGGGTGTACCTGCCATTCCTAGACCTTGGTAGGGACCACTTTCAACTGAGGCTTCCAGGGGTTGAGCTTTCCATTGGATTGATGAGTGTGCAAGCTCAGAAGGGAGGAGTGTGACCTCAGCTGCCAGCAGATTCCTTCATCTGTCCAGTGTCTACTAAACTAAACTGGAACACATCAAGAAAACAAGCCAATAGGCACATTCCAGATCATCCCTAGCTTTGTCATTCATGAAACACACGATCCCTGACAAACACTGATGGTCACACGGTGGCAAGGAAGGATGAACACCAACCAACATGGGGAGGACCCAGGACCAAGAGCACCATGGTGTGACTATGGCTGTTCCTTTGCAAAATGAGCTGCGAGAAGTGAGACCAGGGGCCACAGGAAGTGGTCACTTACTCAGAGACACCAAGAGGGACCACCACCTCAGATCTCTCACTATCCCTCATGGGAGGCATGTGGAAGCTGGGTTCACACAGACAGAAACCACCTCTGCCTGCAGAAGCCTGTTCTATGCAACCTGCTCCCTATGGCCACAGGAGACTGCCAAGGCCCAGGACAGACCTGAGATCACCATGAGCCATACAATGTAGAGAGGAACCCATCAGGGGACAGTGGCCCTTAGGACCTGTTATTAAACCCCCATCTTCCCAGAGCAACATGACATGGATAGGTCCTCTGCTGAATTCAGGGGCCATCCCTCCCCTTAGGCCCAGGCCCACTGTCTCCAATGTAAGTCACTTCCACACTTCTCATGGTTCACAAGGCCCAGGCACCAGAGTCCAGCCTTAGCCTTCCCTCTCCCTGTTCTCTCCTCATGAACTCAGCCTCTCATGTAGATACACTGTCCCCACCCCCAAAGCCAGCCTTCTCAGAAGCCCCAGGGTCACTCACAGCACACGCTGCCATCTGCACCCTCACTGCACTCCCGCCATGCCAAGCCTGGTAGCACCCACTGCACTCCAATGGCTGTGCATGAGTCATATGCAGCATGCTGCCTGGGCTCTGCTGGGCATAGTCGGAGCTGGGGCCCCAGGGCCAGGCAGCCTAGACAACTGACAGTCAGCCTGGAGTGAAGGGAGGCAGGCAGACATGTCTGCAGTTCTCCAGCTCCTATGGCCAGCCCCTGTGCTCTCCAGTTCCCAGGACATGGGGGCATGCACTGCCCAGAAAGCTACGTCAACCTTCCATGAGCTCAAAAAGAATGAACAGCTGAACACACTGTCCCTTCACTTTGATCTTTGGTCCCTTTGGTTGATCCTTCCTCTCTGGCCTTCCCTAGGTGGCTTCATGCAGCCCCACCCACAGTAAGCCAGGCCCTGTGGATAATAATGCATACATCCCAGCAGGCCAGCAGAGGTGACTCCTCTATAAGAGCCCTTTCTCCCTGCCTCCTTCCTCTACATGTCTATTCAAACGGCACCCATCAGCAAAGGCCTGTCATCAGCTGCCCTGTCCTTCATGCAACACCTGCTGTGCCAACAGCCCAGGAGCCATACACATGCATCCAGATCTTAGCTATAGCCACAAAGCCAATTTGTTTCAGTGGTCCATCCATCCTCCAAGGCCCTGCCTTCTAGACACATCTGAGCAGGCAAGATGGACAGGGGGGCAGGGAGGCACCAGGGAGCAAATCCACCAGGAAGGAAATGGCCAGCATGGAGTAACACAGCAGCTTTGCAGCCATACAAGAAGGGTCCTAGGCCATAGCTGGAGTAGGAAGCTCTCTCTCTTTCTCTCTTTCTCTCTCCCTCTCTCTCTCTCTTTCCCTTCTTCCCTCCCCCCCTCTCTCTCTCACACACACACTCACACACACACACACACACACACACACACACACAAAATGCCAAGGTCACAAACTCCACTGAGATGCCAAGGTCACAGATGCTGGTGAGGCCAGCCTGCCTCTAATGAGCACTGTCCACTCAGGCTCAGCTGGCTTCCCAGAACGGTCCTGTCATGAGTCTCTCCTGGGCCATCTCTATGGTCCATTTTTAATGTGCCCCATCCTGACTTCAGCCCACAGAAGCCAAGTCCCAAGCAGACCTGAGCTGTATTTCAAAGCCACCTCCATCCACAAGTCTACCCTTACCTCAGCTACATATTCATGCTAGGAACACCACCATGAGGGCCAAAAGCAGCTATTACCTGGTAGCCACTCACGCACACACGAGCAGCACTAATTAGACTCTGTGGGTTGTTTTCTTGTTTTTGTTGTTGTGGTTGTTGTTATTTGTTTGCTTGTTTTGTTGGTTGGTTGGTTTGGTTTTTTGGTTTTTTTAGGCCATGAAGTTGGGAAGGAGAGGTATTGCGATATGGAGGGGGAGACCAGATAGATAAGACCAAAATACATGTTATACATGTATGAAATTTTGTATAAATAAGTAAAGCTATAACACTTAAAAAAACAAAAACAAAGAAAACAAAACCTCCCTTCTACAGAAGTCACAGAAAGCGCCAACAAGTGACCTGCCCAGGCCAAGACTGTTTAGTGGCTGAGCACCCTCTTCCCCAGCTGGGAGAGTCATGCATGAGGACACGATATGGCTTCACATCACATGGACACCCAGCCACAGACTAATAGGGTGGGCCAGCTCCTGGATGACAGCCTGTGTGGATCTCCTAGCAGGGTATAGAAGTGCCAGTCTCCCAATGAGTCACCAAGTACAGAGTGGCAGTTAAGGCCATATCAGAGCTGGGAAAGAGCAGACTAGGGTCTGGAGCCAAACCTCCACAGTACTTGGGAAGAAGAGCAGCAGGGCAGAGCAGGGTGGGAGTCCACAGGATTTTATGTTGCTGTGGTGGCCACCATCACACACCAGGACACCTTGAAATATATAAAAGAAGATGGGACCTCCCATGCTGCCTGAAGGAGGTAACCCCTGAGCTACCAGCCTGCTGTGCCCCAACAGATACAATCTGCAGGGAAAACAGCTGCCAGTTGGGAACACAGCCAGACTCTCCATGGGCTCTGTGTGTTGGTGAACCAATGCCATTATCTGCAGCTCACTTGGCTGACACAGCCAATGCCTGAGTGGAAAATATCAGTGCCCTGTGGTGGCTGACAAGACACTCTGAGTCCTAGGTCAAAATGTATGGAAGACACTGGAATTCATTTATCTTCCTATTATTTGGCTTCACTTTATAAAGCCATTCTACTTCGTGACCACTTCCTCAGCTAGTCCCTACAGCCCAACACTTCACAACTCTTTGAGGTTCCCTCTCAAGACTTCCTGGAGCCCAAGGCACTCCCACCAATCCCTCCTCCATGATGCTTTTTCTGAGAAGGCCTCACCCTCACTCTCTGAGGACAGAGTCCACAAAGGCATGAGAGGGGACACTCGGGACACTTCTGTGTCTTCTTCCTGCACTTAAGTGTTTGTGTGTCTCTGTCAACCTACAGGACATCTCACTACCTGGGCTGGAACCCTCCCAGGTGGGAGTGAGAGGCAAAAGCAACTGGGATGTGTGTGCACATGTGAGAGGTGGGAGGGGGAAACAGACAGGCAGGCACACACTCAGAGAGACAAGGACAGGTAGGCAGAGTCACAGACGGGCAATCTGACAGAACACAGACGGGCAATCTGACAGAACACAGGTCTCCCAGCCTATCTATTTCCCTAGCAAGGATCTGCCACTTCTAGTCACCATGGGTCTCTACTATACCACAGGTCTGTCCCCCAAGATGGGTGCCTCCGACCTCTTGTAGGGCTTGAATGGGTGGCCCAGGCATCCTGTCAAGGACACCTATCACCTGACCACCACTATGAACAAGGCCTATGACTGCATCCCCATGTCCACAGCCTTTTGGAGTCAGTGACCCCAAAGAAACCCTATAGGGTGATTCCCAGGGCTCTGCAATGGGAACTGCCCTCCTCATCTTCAACCAACACCTGCCCAACCGAACCTGATCTTCTAGACTGTCTACTGTCCATTACTTCTAAGCAGTTTAGAGAAGTTTCTAAAACAAGGAGAGTTCTGTCTACATTGTGCTCCATCTACCTCATTGATGGAAGATATCATTTTGTAAATATGTTTCTCTTATTGGTTGATGAATAAAACACTGTGGCCAATAGGGCAGCAAGATTGGTGGGATTAGGAGACAAGGCGAATTCTGGGAGATATAGGCAAAGAGGAGTTGTCATGTGATCCCAGAAAAAGAGGACACAGTGAGGTGTTCTCCAGTAAGAAAAGACCATGTAGAAATACTTAGATGAATAGAAACGGGTTAATAATTAAGACAGAACTTCCCAATACGAAGCCCTGGTCATTGGCCAACAGTTTCATAATATAGCCTCTGTGTATTCATTTGGGGCTGATGCAGTTGTGGGACCAGGCTGGCGGGAAAGAGTGCTTGAAACACCCCACGGAGCATGCACCCTACTAGCTGCTGAGGACCAAGGTGAGATGGCAACAGGAAGCCCTGGGACACACCCCACCTGTGAAATGGGAGCTCAGCTTCCCGTTGGCCTGAGAGGCGGGAGGTGGTCCCAACCCTATTGGGCATTCTTTTCAGGGCCAGAACCTCACTGGGCACCAAGAGGAAGAAGCAGCACCAACTGTGACTTGCTCCTTCTGTTGAGACAACAGCACGTGGCTGTGCTACACTGGGCCCCATCTCCTTGCCACACTACAGAAACTCCCAAAACCTGGGGCCTTGTCCCTAGTTGTTAACACAGCCTACAGTCATCTGAGTAGGTCTCAATCGAAGGACTGCCTGGCCACTGCCTCAGTCCCTTCCAGTAACTCAGCCTCTGCCCCTGTCCCCCAGCAGCTACTCCACTATCCCAGCCACAACCCCACAATCCCCAGAGTGGCGGGATGAGGAGGAGGAAGACGGGACTGGAATCTTTCTTTACCCTTGCGCACATTCATATACTTTATGGCAAGGACGGTACAACCATGAGTCCAGCTTAAGAGGCTGGGAACACAGCCGAGTCGCAGAGTACGCACTGAGCATAAGGCCAAAGGCCCTGGGTTCATCCCAGGCCCCAAAGAGACAGCACCGAGTACTGGCCCAAATCAGCCCTGAAGCACCCAGTATGATGACTTTCAGGGAGTTCTCTGAAAGGAGACCCTAGCCGGGACTAGGGTTGAGATGGGGGCTGTGGGGTGGTTCTAGCCTCAGTCAGACCTGTCTCCTGCCAGGCTTTCTCCAAGACAGCCCAGCAGGCTGTATGCTGGGTGCTGGGTCAGTGCCTGCACCTGGACTTGGCCCCAGGACCTTTGCACCCCCGCCCGCCCTGAGAGCAGCCATCACTCTCTGGTAGGATGCTAGGCATCTGCCCACGGGGCTGGGACTCCACCCTGAGTGACACACTGCTTATATTTTCTCCTATAACTGCTTGCTCAGACACAGCAGGGTGATGGCCAGCCACCTTCACAACTACTCTGAACCTGCTGGACAGCGGTGATAAGGACGCTCTTCAGGCCGGCTGAACTCGCCCTACAGACCCCAGAACAGGCACCACAGGGTTGTCTCTACACCAGGCCTGGATGGCTGGTGGCTGGATGGCTGAGCTCCCAACCCAGCTGTGTGACCTTGGACAAGCCTTCTCCCCTCTCTGAGCCTCTGCCCAGAAGCTCTACCTAGCATGGTTGCTGGGGACCCAGGTGCCCAGGTCCCTCCCGTTGACAGAGGCAGCTCGTAAACAAGGATGTAGGGGCAGCAGAGGCTGGTCCCATCCCCCACAGAGCCCACGCTGGAGGAGCGCTCGCCGCCCCGGCTGACGGCACCACACGGGGAGCCAGGCAGGACTGGGGCACAGAGAGGTTGAGCGCACTGTCCAAGGTCACACAGCCGCGCGGGCGCCGGGTACGGTGCAGGGTTCCCGACTTACCAGACTTGGGGTAGGTGACGATCCACACGTCGCTGGGCCGCACCGGGAAGTCGGCGATGTCCTCCATCTTCCCGCGGCAGAAGGGCGGCAGCCGCACGCCATGGAACTCGAAGTACTTGCTCTCGAACTCGCCCGGGGTGCCCGGGGTCTCCGCCTCGCTCTCCGCCATGCCGCCGCCCGGCCCGGCCCGCAGCTCCAGGGCGTGACGTCACGGCGCCGGCGCGGGGCTCCGCGGGCATGACGTCATGGCCGCACCCACGCACGCCGCGCCCCGTGACGTCGTGCGCCGAGGCCCCGCGCTTGCCGCAGAGGTGCGTCCGGGTCCGTGTCGCCGCCTGTCAGTCGTCGGGGCAGGATCAGGGTTCCCACGCCCTGGGGCAGACCAGGGCGAGCCACGGGGCCCGGGAAGCCTCACCTCCAGAAGCTGATGCCAGAGATGGAAAAGCCCGCGTCAGAGCGCGGCTGACAAAGGCAGCCTGGAATCCGGTGACAGAGAGGATTCCCTCAGGGAGAAACCGGGCAGAGAGACCCTCAGAAAGGAAACCCCTGGACAGAAGACCACCCCGCCCCAGGCAGAGAAGACCCACACACAAACAAACAGAGAAGTCCCCCGGGAAGATAGGAACCCCACAGTGGGCCTCTCCAGAGAGGACCAGACGCCCCAGCAGAGAAATCTCCAGGCAGGTAGGGACCCTCACTCCAGAGAGGGCACCCCAGCGGAGGGGACCCCCTCCTCTAGAGAGGAAACCCCCATGCAGAGAAGACCGCCTCCCGGCAGAGAAGAACCCCAGAGTGGACCCCCAGGCAGAGAGGACCGGTCCCCAGGCAGAGGAGACCTCCAGCAGAGATGGCACCCTTAGGAAATCCCCAAGCAGAGGGGACTCTCCAGGCCCTCCACCTGCCTAGGTCTGTATCCTTCTTGAGAATGGGAATACTGCTTCCAGGAGCCACAGCTGGGGGAAGCAGCTAACAAGAACCCAAGGGTCTGGGAAGCCCCTTAGGAATAGAGCCCCTGCCTAGCTGGCATGAACCCCTGGGACCAGGGAGAAAAGGAAAACAGACAAATACTGGGCTTGCACACACTCGTGATCCCTGCCACTGGAAGGTGGAAACAAAAAGGATCAAAATCCAAGACCAAGCCAGGCGTTGGTGGTGTTAGGAACTAGCAGCCAGCTGACCCCCACCCCGAGGATGGGCGGGATGCTCATGGCCTTGTCATCTCTACATCAGCTTTACCTGGTGGCCAGAGGACTCAGTTACGCAGTGCAAGCCTCTTTTAAAGCAAGCCCGCCAAGTGCTTCTCTCTTTTTGCTCTCTCTCTGCTCTCTCTCTCTGGTTTCTCTCTCTGGTCCCTCTCTGTTCCCTCCCTCTCTCTCTCTCTCTCTCTCTCTCTCCCTCTCTCTCTCTCTCCCTCCCTCTCTCTCTCTCTCTCTCTCTCTCTCTCCTGCTTTCGGTTGGCCACCAGCTACCCCCTCTTTCTCTCCCCTCTCTCAATAAACTCCGCGTGGGCACTGTCTCGTGTTTGTGTTTCTTAGGCATTAGCTGCGCAGCAAAAGAACAACAGGTGATGCATACCTTTAATCCCAGCACTCGTGAGGCAGAGGCAGGTGGATCTATGAGAGTTCGGGGCCAGTTTGGTCTACAGAGCTAGTTCCAGGACAGGCTCCAAAACTACACAGAGAAACCCTGTCACGAAAAAAAAAAGTTCAAGGCCAACCTCGGCTACATAGTACATTAGAAGCTAGCCTAGGATGAGAGCCTTTCTCAAGACAAGGCTTAGAACAGAGCAACAGACTGTCCCTTTTTGCTGCCAAGCACCAGAGATGCAGAGACCTGCCTGGATGCAAAAAGGGAGGACAGGACCCGCCGGATTTCCACACAGAAGTGCATTATGGAGAGCAATTAGGGTGACACAAAGGGGCTGCAGTCAAAGTGTGGGCCCCAGAATAGTAAGCCGGCGACAATTAGAGGGGTGTAACGGGAGTAAACATAGGACCTCTGTCCTCTGATTGCTGCTGACACAGAGGCGGAAGGGCCCTGTCGCTGTCTGCGGTGCTGAACTCTCAAAGCTTGGCCCTGGCCGCCTGGCCCTCTGCAACCCGGCTTCACTAACAGTCTGTTTTGAGGCATATTCTCCTATTTCCCTGTATTATTAAAAACCTTAAGGGAAGGGTTGGCGAGATGTAAAGGCACCTAGCACCAAGAAAGATAGAGATGAGTAAATAAATGAATATTTAAATGAGCAAATGTTATTTGAATGTAGAAATGGGATTTAAATGAATGTGGTTTAAGTGCATGTAATTTAAATAAATAAGTTTCTCTTAGGTTTGGAAATACCAAATATGCACAAAATCTGAGAATGAGATACCTTTTAGGCAACTGTCACACCTCATCACACAATGCCTATTATCAACTCATTTTATCAGCTTACTATGAATACATGCATGCACACACTGGGTATTTGCACATCATCTCATTCATGCGTACCTCCCTGCAGATCTCTAATAGATAAGAACACTTTGAAAACACACTTCCCAAAGAGAGGCACAACCTCAAAGTGAGTACCAGGATGATTAATTAGGCATGGTGTCACGTGACAAGCATTTGAGAGCCAGAAGAAAGGAGAATCAGGAGTTTGGGGTCATCTTCAGCTACACAGTGAGCTTGAGGACAACCTGGGCTACATGAGACACCTCAGGACACCAACATCAGAAGTGATAAACACACCTGTTTCACTGTGAGGGCCAGTTCAGTGTGTGCATCGCTTAGCATGATGATGTCCATTTAAGAGAAGGGCTGGGGAGACAGCTCAGGGGCTAAAGTGTTTTCTGTGTGTGCTTTATGACATGAGTTTGAATCCCCAACACCCACATGAAAAAATGCTTGGTATGGCTGCTCATGCCTGTAATCCCAGCATTAAGAGTCAAGATGGGTGGGTCCCAAGAGCACACTAACTGGTCAGTTCAGCCAAAAGGATGAGCCTCCAGTTCAGTAAGAGATTCTCAGGCAACAAGACACCCAAAGTCTTCCTGTGATGTCTGCACCTGCATACATGCACACACACACACACACACACACACACAAACACACACACACACACACACACAGGACTGACAGGCAGGCAGGCAGACAGACTGGAATGCAACCCAGTTGTTAAAATGCTTGCCTAGTACTGATAAAGCCCTGAGTTCCCCGAAACCACACACTCAGCATTTCTGTCACCCCAGAAGGTCCCCTAAGGAGTGAGGAGCTGACATGGAAGGGGGTGGCATGGGGAGGCTGAGCAGCTTTAGCATGGAGTCTGTGTCTGTAATGAGACACAAAGGTCAGGGATGAGATGTCCTCAGGGGTGTCCTGAGATACAAGCCCCCTGCGCCCAGAGCCCCAGTTGGTCAGGGCGAAGAGACCTCACTCTGGCATCTGAAAGGAGGGGCATGGCAGTGACCCCAGCTCAGTAGAAACAGAGAATGGCCTTCTGTAACCACCTAACCCCAAAGGGATAGCCCCTCACTGATATAAAGGATGGAGTCTGTGTCTGGCCCACATGGGAGACAGGGGAAACAAGTGTGTGAGGCTGGCTCAACCCTGGTGCTGCCACGGAATGGAGAGACTCTTGCTCATGCCGTCTGCTCTCCTGGTCCCCTCAGTCCTGTCCCTGTGCCACTGGTCCACACCTCTGATGTTTCAGGAAGCTTGGGATATTTTTTCTTTTAGATGTGTCTCATTGTATATCCTGGTTTACCCTGGAACTTGAGATTCCCCCGCCTCTGCCAAATCAGTGCCAGCACCCCCAAACCCTGCACTGGCTCTTCTTTCATTCATTACTTCACCCCCTGCCCTAACTAAACTCCTGCAGAGGACACAAGTTCAGTTCCCAGCATCCACATCAGGGGTCTCCCAACCACTTATAATTGTAGTTCTGGGGATTGGAGGTCATCTCCTGACCCTTGCGGGCCCCTGCACACAAGTGGCACACACAGACACACACATAATAAAAATACAGAAATCTTCAAACACCTTGGTGATACAGCCTTGCCACCACCTGCTCTGTGGTCTCAACATGCCCTCCATCCTCTCTTCCATAGCTGTGGCCATGCTGTGACAAGGGCTTCATTCTCTTTGCAAGCCCTCTGCACCTGCTTCTCCCTTTGGAGCCTTGCAGAAGCCATGGCCTCTTGCCAGATCTCAGCTCAATAGAAGCCTTCTTGGAGCAGCCTCCTGACAGCCTGGTCCCTGTGGCTCTCCACTTGGCTTCACTTCCTCCCTCACTATGTTCTCTTCTGAGCACCCTTGGGAAGGTTCATGGCATCATTTCCCATCTGTGTCCCATCTGGGAGCTGAATGAATGAATGATACATGGTGAATAGATGAATGATCAATGTACTTAAGATCAATGAATTAATGAATGAGTAACAATCCTCTCTTCTATACACCATTTATTACTTAATCTCACCTCTTGTTGGTGTCTCCATTTCTCTACAGACCCATCTCCATTCAGGCTGAGTGTCCCTTATTGTCTGGCCAGGGACACAATGTAGGTTCTTCCGGAACAGAAAAAATAAAGACCCCCAGGGAGAGGACAGAGGAAGTTTGGTATGTGTGGTACCCAGAAAACTTCCTAGGAAACCAGGCTGCAGTGGCAGTAGGCTCCATTCCCCAAAGATGCATCTATTATCATGGTCCCCCCTAACATGTATCCTCAGCTAGCCACCTTCCATATGCACTTGTCACAGGGGTCAACTATAAGTGCAGACCAGAAATAGGAGGTAGGCAAGCCCTGTCAGAGCAGTCATTACCATGAGCTGGGTCTTGGGGTACCAGTTCCAGTCTTTCCTAGTGTTAGTGCTCTCTGCACAATGTGGAACACACCTCTGTTGGACACCTGTGCCTTCTGTGTCCCCCACATGGAGATCCAGTACTGAGACATGTCAGTTTGTTCTGTCTTTTCTCCCCTGACAAAATGGGAAGGAAGAAGGCAGTGGCCTGGGCACACAGTAGCCTGGAGACATCCAGAAAGACCCTGGGGTAAAGGCCTCAGAAGCAGTTGCAGAGGGCTCTTGACCCCTCCAAGAAGCCACCTGCCCACACAAGAAACACAGGGCCTAGCATGGGCAGGAGACCAGGTATTTTTGCCAATAACTCAGCAATTTCCCTGATCTAGACTCAGAGCTCCTGGGGAAAGAACCACAGAAAGGCATGAGCACACCAGATGAGGCAAGGACAGGGTCCAGGGAGGTCACATATGTGGTTGGCCTAGCCCATTGCACGATCAGCAAGTCTGGGGTTCAAGGCCTGGTTGTCAGACGCATCTGTCCTGGGCTGGAGGAGACCAGAGTCTGTGCTTGTGACAGGTAGGCTGCAGAGGAACCATGAAACATGTGTGAGTTGAAGGCCTGGCGTTTGATAAAGGTAAGATATTACCACAAGGGGCAGCCCTTACAGGGAGCAGGCTAATTCGTCCCTAGCCCTCTGCAGAAGGTCTCAAGCCCTCAGCAGGACCAAACAGGAGAATATCAGGACTCCAGGGTGGATTTTCCTAAGGGGCAGTGGGGGGTTGAGTTGATCTCCTGTATCAGGGAAACAGTCAGAAGGTGGGCCAGCAGCCCCTAGATACACAGAGCCAGCCTTGGGGGAGAGAGATCTGTACCAGCCAGCAGACTGTCTAGACTGACCAGTGTGACTAGCTAAGAGACCCCAGGCACTGGATGGCACACACAGCAATGAACACAGACAGGTCTCCCTATGTGGCTGAACACAAAGACATGGGATGCATGCCGGGCACTAAATGGATGCTGTGTGGTAGGTGCTAGGTTCTGGGTTCTATGAATTGGTTGCTGGGCACTGAGTGCTAGGGAGTGAATGTGGGCAACATGTTTCAGTCCTGACAAACACTTCCGCCCTTCCCCCCTGCCTCACCTGCCCAGCCTGAGGAGCTGTGTCTTTGCCATGGAGTAGACTTCAAGGGCTGTACTCTTCAGGAGACCCTGCACCCAGCACAAGTCGGCTGGCATTTCAGGCAGCCACAGCAGCAGCCTGTGAAAGGGGCAATGTCAGCTTCCCAGGGTGCTCTGGGGTAGTCCCAGATCAGGGGTGGCCCCTACATTTCAGGCAACAGCTGGAGAGAAGGGAAAGGGAGAGTGCTAAGAAGACCTCAGGATGGCCCCATAGGTCACATCCATGGCAGATGTCCAAAGGTGAGCTTTGAACTTCGGTATCAACCTTGGTATCAGCCTCCATAGAGTTCCAGTGCAAAGCTGGGGTAGGAAGGGTAGAGTGTCATGTGATTCTAGCTCTATAGCTACTCTGCTATGCAGCCTAGAGATCCAGGAAAAAAAAACTTGCTGAGCCTCAGCTTTCCTCTCCTACTGAATGATGACCATCTGCCTAGAGTCCTTTGCCCTTACCATCCATCCCTCTTCCTGCCACGTATTATTCATTCATGTTCCCTTCAGAGGCCAGTGCCTTCCTCTGCTCTGAATACCCTGTGTGTGGGTTATAGACCAAGGATGAACATGGTATGTTCAGGGATGACTCCAGTAGCCTCACACCACAGAAAAGTCTAAATTTCTTCATTTTCATTTCTGCTCATGGTTTTAGCAAACAGCTCTTGGTGAGATGAGTGTGTCAGGAAGGTCTTCTCCAGTCACTAACTCAAGGCAATACAACACACAGTCCTGGAGCTCCCCACCATAGACTGTCTAAAGAAAAGGCATTTTAGAAACACAGCCCTTGCCAGGCAGTGGTGACACACTTTAATCCCAGCACTGGGGATCTCTGTGAGTCGGAAGCCAGCCTGGTCTACAAAGCAAGTTCCAGGACAGCCTCCAAGGCTACAAAGAAACCCTGTTTGGAAAAAAAAAACCAAAACAAAACAAGAAATAAACACAGAGAGAGACAGAGGCAGGGGGATGGGAGAGATCTGGTGTTGGAGCACATGCCTGGAGTCCCAGGCAGAGGAAACCTTGAGTTCAAAACCACTCTGGATTACACAGCAAGATCCTATCTCAAAGCAAAACTCTATCTCCCTACAGCACCCCTCTGTCTGGATAAAGCTTGCTTGCCTGAATACAGAGCACCTCGTGTCTGGCTCCTGCCACTCTCTAGCCCCATCTCATACAGACACCATCTTGCATTCCAGCCACACCTCTCCTTAGGATCTTTGGATGTGCCTGACTCCCTTGTGACCTTGGCTCACAGTACCCTGTCTACTTGGAAGGCTTTTCCTTCCTCTTTGCCTGATGGACTTGGCACATCCTTAAGACTATAGCTTGAATGCTATTGCCTGCCTTCTCTGAACAAACAGTTCTGAGTATGGGAGAGGGTAGCTTGGGGATAGTGAGGTTCTCTCCTAGAAGTTACAATGCACAGGTGCACATGTGTGACTGTATGCTCTGCCAGGCAAGGAGCAAGGTTGGGGTCAGCCTGCCTCTCTTGACCCAAACTAATACCTAGTCCCTGGTCAGCCCTTAGCAGCTGGTGAGTGAGCAGATGAAGCAGCATGGTCCACTAACCCAGGCTGAATGCTTAGCATGAGATGAGGGCTCAGCTACAAGGAGTCTTGTTTTCAGAAAATATACCATGACCCACAGAGATCAAGAGAGCTGGCCTAGACCACATAGCCAATCTGAGGTAGACCAGCTAGGAGAGTTGCCAGGGGCAGCACATTGTCATCAGGGCTCTGACCATGGAACACAGAGCAGAAGGTCACAGAGCAGTCCAGGTACTAGCCACACCACCTCCCTACAAGTCCTCTTTGGCAGAGCCTACCCAGGCACTCCATAGGCTAGACCAAGCAGGTAGACTGAGGAAGGCATGTGCCTGCCAGCCCTAGCCGTTCAGCCACCCTCACTGGCCACAAACCTGGCCCCTCAGCCCAGGCTACCTCACCTCCTGCTCCGGAAGTAGACATACTCGAAAGGCAGCGTGCAGGGCAGTAGGAGGTAGGTCAGTGCTCTCCCTGGCACAGAGCACTGTAATCGAGCCCAGAAGTCCCGCCTGCAAGCCTTCCTCAGTGCTGCAAGACAAGAAGAGGCCCATGGCCCCTTGGTACCCTCAGGCTGTGGAGCTGCCTCCCCCAGTCAGCCTGGAGCCACCAAGTGCTAGGGTCCAGGAGAAGCAGGGAGTATCCACCCTCAGCCTCTCCACACCGATGAAGCCATTGCTGCCAGCAGGGGTCACCATGTACACACCCTCTCAACCCACTGAGGCATGCAGAGGAAAACACTAAGGTTCAGAGTGGTGGTTCAGAAGTATCTAGTGAGAGACTCCTTTAGAAAGAGGCAGAGCCAAGACAGCCTCGAGGTTCACCAGGCTCCTGTCCTGAGCACTACCCTCCTCTCCTACCAGGAGAAGTCTGTGTGGTGCCTTGGAAAAGCAAGTATCCCCAGGCCTTTCTCACAGTTATAGCCTCAGAGCAGTTGTGAGCACAGCATCCGTGTTGCCAGCTCCAACCCCCTTGTTCACTAGGCTAAGCAGGACAAGAGAGCCAAGAGGCCACTCCAGACTGCTGGGAGCTCAGCCTAAAGCTCAGGTTTGAGAAACAAGGTCTGAGGTTTGCAGCCAAGGAGACAACACCCAACTCCTTCCATCCCCTAGTCACAGGAAATGGGTTCTCGGCAGAACATTCCTGAAGGCAGTGAGTGGAACCTAGGGTGTCTAGGTATTCAAGTCACACTCAGTCCCTACCCCAGACAGTTGCAGTGCACAGGGGAAATAGCCACATCCCACTGATTCCAGATTCAGAAACTAGACCTAGAACTCAGTACAGACTAAAACCCTCTGGGTACAAGTTAATGTTCTATCCTTATCCCTTGTAATGGGGATGTCCTCCTGTATGTTGTGAATATATGTTTCTCTTATTGGTTGATGAATAAAGTTGTTTCAGCCAATAGACAGGCAGGAAGTATACATAGGGCTACCCCACTAGGATAATGCTGGGAAGAGGAAAGGAGGGAGATCCCAAGCATCACGGTAAGCAAAGACCATGTGGAGATACACAGACTAATAGAAATGGGTTAATAATTAAGAGAGAGCCAGCCAGTAAGAAGTCTGAGCCATTGGTCAAGCAGTTTATAGTTAATATTAGCCTCTGTGTCTTTATTTGGGATTAAACAGCTGCAGGACCAGGTGGGACAGAAACTCCCATCAACGAGCCTGTCACCACCTTGCTTCCTCTGTGCCCCATTGTCTCTTCTTGGACCTTCACTATTAACTAAACTTATTTGGCCTCTACCCTCCGCACTAGCTGCCCCACACCACCAGGTCTCCCCAGAGGGTCATCTAGTTCAATACTCACTCCTTGCTTCGTGGAACTGTTTGGGAAGAATGAAGTGGTGTGGCCTTGTTAGAGATGTGTCACCCAGGGTGAGCTTGAGATTTCAAAAAACTCACACCAGGCCCATTGTGCTATGCTCTGTGTCTCCTACATTAGCTATTCCTGCCAGCATCGAGGTGCTGGAAGAGCAATCAAACCCTCTCTTTTATAAGTTGCCTTAGTCGTGGTATTTTGTCACAGCAACAGAAAATTAAGCAAGACACCAGCCAGCTCTCCCCTCCTGCCTACCCAGTCCTCCTCACATTCATGTCTGCTGTGTCACCCAAACACTATGCCATAACCCCAGAGACTTACCAGTTCAACCCCTACAGCCCCAGGGCCTTTGCACATGTGGTACCCTTTGCCCAAACTCTCCTCCTTCCATCTTTGGCTGTTTGAAATGTCTCTTGGATGTCACCTGCCACCTATGCCTGTGTTTGTTTCTAAGTACCTCACTCTGACCAGGGCATAGATCTGGCTTTCCCAGGCACAGACTTGGACTCAGTACTCCAATGGCAGACAGAAAGACCAGCTGAGTTCCTTCTCTTCTCAGAGCCTCAGTTTCCCCACCAGTGAAATAGTGTTGGGTTATAGTCTGGAGTAAAGGACACAGGAAAGCCCCCAGCCACACTTGATGTTTAGCAGGTGCTTGGTAGATGTGAGCACTCAGGCAGGCGAGTAGTGTGAGAAAGGGCAGTACCAGCCTCCAATTCCGGTGACAGCAGTTCAAAGTTGGACACATCCTTGACCAGCACATTGGGGATGTCCCACCTGATGGTCAGCCTAAGCTTCTGGCCCTGGTCATGGTCAGCACTCCCAGGCTCCTCAATGAGTTCTGGAGGCTCCTTAGACACCAGTGACCACAGCACTGGCTCCTTGGTGAGTCCTGGATTAGAAGTGAGATGTAATAGTTTGTGCAGTGGCAGCCTTCAGGAGAAATGATGTCTAACTATCCACATGTCTCAGTGCTCAAACCAACTCCAAGACTCAGGTTGCAGGATGGGCCCCAATGGGGCCCTGCCCTGCTGTTCAGCCTTCTCCAGAGCCCCAGAAACATAGTTCTGTCAAATTCTGTCCTATTCCCACCTGCCAGACCTGTGTGCCTCAGCTCCTCTGTCTCAGTTTCCCTCTAAAAAGAACTTAAGGCCTGCTGCCATGGGAGTTAATGAAGTACTCTCAAGCCCTGACCTGGAGTGGGGTGCTGCAGGTTGGGATGGAGTACAGGCATTCATGGGTCTGGAACCCATAGCCTGGGTTCATCTCTCAACCTCGTCTTACAGGGTGACAGCCATGCTTTCCAGTCCTGGGAACCATGCACATCCCAGCTGACAATCCCTTGGGGTGCAACTCTCCTCCATCCATCTGCCTCTGTCTTCCCATCACAACCAGGCACTCTACAGCTGGTCCCAACCCAGCTCAGCTGTCGCCTCCAGGAAGATAGCCCTGCTTGCTCTCCCAATCTCAGGCCAAGATGAAATGTTTCTCTGCCCCCAGCCCATTGCTGGAGGAGCTTCTGCCCATCTATATCACCCTGCTTCAGTCTTTGGAGGCTCCAGAATGGAACCCAGAAGACTTCTTTCAGTCTGCCTAGTGTGGTTTGACCCCACACAGAGCAGGCACTGAGGTCCCAGGGTTCAAACAACAGAGAAGTGGAGTTCAACTGATATCATCCCATTCCTACCCTCTGTCACCTACCCCGTCTCTCCAGGAACCTCAGGGCATCCAGATAACCTTGTCTGCAGTAGTCAGCCACCACCTGGGACACACGGAGCAGAGGGGGAACAGTGTTTGGGGCTCCTTAGCAACAAGCCACTGGCTGGAGACAAGTCAGCAGATGGACACAGCCCCAGCCCAGCCTGCTGCTCCAGTGACTCTCTGCAGGGCTCAGAAACCCCAGAGCCCCAATACTGGTCAGAGAGACCCAGATCGTGCACAGGCACAGATCTGCCCTCGACGTCCCTTCCCATTGGTCAGCCCACTTCTTACCTAGAGCTCAGACACCTGCCTCCCTCTGAGGTCCTCCCTCTAGTAGACAGAGTAACAAGGCCTGAATCAGGGTCACTGGGGTCTCCACCTGGCTCCCCACAGGCCAGAGCAGCCCCTTCCCCTCCCTGGGAGATGCGGTAGGGAGTGAGAGTGGAGTTCAGAAGACAGCTCCATGGAGTCAGCACTCCCCTTCCACCAGCTGCTTCCTGGAATCAACCACAGTCACCAGGCTTGCCCCACGGGTGCCTTTATCTGCTGAACCTTCTCAGTCTTTGTGTATGCACGCGCATGCGAATCCTTGGGAGCTCACTTTCAAAGCCATGCCGGACTAATAGAGTATAATCTTGGTTTTGCCACCTCTAGGCTGTGTGATTGAACAAGTTACCTAATCTGTCTGAGCCTGTGTCCTCTGAGAAATGGAACACCCTACGGGCTGGAGGGCATTGTGACACACACCTTTCATCAAGCACCCGGGGGACAGAGACAGGCAGACCTCTGTGAGTTTGAGACTAGCTTGGTCTACATGGTGAGTTCCAGGCCAGCCAGGGCTACACAGTAAGACTCTGTCTCAAAAGAAACAAAGACAAAACAACTAATGAGGTGCTGGAGAGATGGCTCAGCAATTAAAAGCACTGGCTGTTCCTCAGGAGGAACATAGTTCATAATTCAAATCCCAGCACCCATGCTGGGTGGCTCACAACTGCCTATTACTCTAGTTCCAGGGGTCCAGTGTCTTCTTCTGGCCTCTGTGGGTACTGCACTCACATGCACAAATACACACACACACACACACACACACACACACACACACGCATGCACGCACATGCACACATGTGCGAGTGAGCACATAAATAAAAATAATAAATCTAGAAAAAGAAATAGAAATAACCATTTCTACTCACTGAGCCTGCCAGTTGAGTGCAGGACACAGCTGGATTCTAGCCCTCACCCAGGAAGAGGCAGAAGAGGCAGAGCCAACCTGAGCTCAGGTTTCTGCTCCAGGGCTTGTATGACAGGCAGTAACTGAAGCCGAGGGGAAGGGTTGTGGGCCAGGACCATGCAGGGTGACCTACCTCAGGCTTGGGGGGGATCAGGGATATGATGCCCTGAAAGAAGTTCCTGGTAGAGATCTGGAAACTGGCATTGAAAGCGGTCAGCTCGTACAGACTGCCCGAACTGCTCTGGGGACAGATGTCCACCGTCCCATGGAAGGGAGAGATGGTGATGGTGGTGGGAGAGTCGGAGAAGGGCAGGTTGTTGCTCAGGGCTCCATCAATGTAGCGCTGCAAGGCAGAGAGGCAGTGGTCCACACTGTCTTCCCTACACTCTCACTGCTGACCGGTATCTGTATCCCCCTCCAGCCTAGGTGCTGAGCCTCTTCAGGGGAAGCCTGGCACACAGTAGGGATTCACTCTTAACTCTACCTCTGGACAAACTCTTGTTCCAGCTTCCTAGAGCCCAGAATGGGATGCAGACAGGCCCCTCCCAAACACACTCACCTCCCCTCTGAACTCCGGAGGGATTGTCCCACAATACATGGGGAAATACAAGGAGCAGATCAAAGCCTGGAAGACAAGACCATCATCCTCGATCAGTGTTCCACACCTGCTCTTGTGCACACAGCCATTGCTCAAATGAAGAACAGAGGAACACGGGTATCCTTGACACCACCTTCCTCTCCCTGGATAGTGCACTTAGGATGCCCCATAATATATAAGCCAAGGCACCCATACCAACCCTGGATCTGGCACAAAGGTGCCACCAAGAACCTCTGTGTATCTCCCAAAGAAGATTCTCAGTATTGATCCAAGTGGATGCTCCTCTAAGGAGTGCTTCCAGGCCTCCCTCCCCACAAGAGACACAGTTTCCTAGTAAAAGTCCTGATAAGTCCTACCGGGGAGGGGGAAGATGCTTGCTTTATAGACTGATCCTGTAAACACCTGGTGCTGGTCTTGCTGTAATGGGGCTGTGCAAGTTGTCCTGTGTCATGGGATGCTTAGCATCATCCCTTGTCTCACCTGCTAGATGCCAGCAGCATGCAGAGCATGACAGACAAGGATAGTTCCAGCATGGTCAACTGTGCTGGGGGTGGGGAGAGTGGGACTGTGAAAGTACTGCAGACCTGGGGCTCCAAGGCCTCGTCTGAGAGCCCTGAAAGACTTCATTCCTCCAACTCTTCCTCAGAGAAGCAGACACAGTCCTAGTTCTGAGGGTTTGGAATATGAGTAAGCCAGTCCTTCCAACAGATGGCTGCAGTTGATAACAGCTCACATTCACAGAGTATCTGCATGTGCTATCCAGGTGAGCACACCGGGACAGGCTCTGAAGTCCCTTCCTGGGTACCAGCCCACAGCAAGTGACACCCCTCAGGCATATTGAGAACCACACACCTATGCTCCAGTAGCTGCTGGCTCAGGCTGTCCCAGTGTCTGGTACAGGGCACCAAGATGAGACTGGGAACCGTATTATCAGAGGCAGACATAGACCTTTATAGGAAGGGTGGGCAGAGCTGCACTGAGGGACGCTGGGACACTTCACACTGGGCTGAGGCCTTCCAGCATGGAAACCCATATCCCTTCAGAGCTTTCCCCTATGGCCCTGCTCAACCTTCCTGATCCTCCAAGCCTGCCCACACCCACTCCACCCCATCAGATCAGAACAGGCTCCTTTCCTTTCCTACCTTGCTCTCCTGATCTAGTTTCACAAAGGCCCTTTCCTATGAGGTGTGCTCATTAGATACAAGCTGGGAGAAGGCAAGGGTTTTTCATCTGTGCCCCCTCCCTGGCAAAAATCACAGCATACAAACAGTGCCCACTCATAATAGATGCTCAGTAAATACTTGCTCTGGCAATCAGAAAGCACTTGGAAGATGGGGGTGGGAGGGGCAGGGAGGACACCTCTGGAATGAGCAACCCTAGATGCCCTGACCATGGAAGCTGACTGCCCCTCAGCCTGGCCCAGGAACACCTCAGGTTCCTCTCCACCCCATCCCCTAGAGAGCCTTAGACTCAGGCCAGTCAATGATACAGTCTAGCTCCTGCTGCACCCTCCAACACACACACACACACACACACACACACACACACACACACACACACGAGGTCACCCACAGAGACCCCTGGGCTCACAATTATTTGATGGTTTATGCTCCTTGGGCCTTGGGTCATAATCCAGCATCAGCTCACCTGGATGAGTTCATTCCGAGTGGCAAAGTCAGTAACTATGATGTTCTGGCCATCATACCATCGGGTTATGGAGATGCCCAGCCTTTGGGAGGCCAGGATGTGGCAATTCTCAGGTAGGATGTCCTCCAGCTTTTTCCTGATGTGCTCAATGGGGTCATAGGCCGGGTGGAAGATGCCCAGGCTCAGACGCTCCACTTGCTTCACCATGCCGAGGAGATTGGAGCAGCAGAAATCTGCAGAGTGGTGAGGACTAAGGTTTCAGCTACCTGGGACCACTGAATGCCACCCGCACTCACCAACTGCCCACCTTCCTCAGGGATGCCTGGGAGTCAGTACATAATACCTCCAGTCCTGGATGTCAATGACCTTAGGGGTAGTATCCCAAATCTGAAGCCAAGGCCCCATCTTTGGAGATAGAAGTGACCACAGTCCTCAGATTCAAAGGCTTGGTGTAAAGCCCTTGGGGGTGGGGGGTGTGGGGTGTGGTCAGGTTCAGCTCCCTGCAGGATCCCTGAACCTCTCCAAGCACCTGCTGACTTGCTGGTGATAATGCACACAGCGTTGAGTGCTCCTGAGGAGGATCCATAAAAGCGGCGGGCGCCCTGGAGGATGCGTGGTGCGCGCTGGTGAAGACATTGGGTGGCGCCCACGTGGTAGAGGCCCAAGAAGCCGGCGCCTGCAAAGGACAGGCTCCAGCCACCCTCTGCCTCCAGGAAATCCATATTGGCCTGCTTGGAACACCAGTCTGCAGACACCACAGCCCGGATGTCTGTAGTACAGGAGCTGGAAGGACGACTCTCCAGATACCAATGGACTGGGACCAGACAAGGATGGGGATGGAACTCTGGTGGCGCAGCAGAGTGGCCCCGCCCTAGGCGGAGTCAGCTGTGACCCTGGCAAGTGAGGGGCTGGCGCTGCCACCCTCTCCAGGTGTGTACAGCTGCGTCAGAGTCATTACAAACTGCAAGCACCCTGGCCAGGCATGCACGGCCACCCTGCTCCAGATTGCAGTCGTCTAACCTCGGGGTGTCTGCATTTCGAAACAAGAAATGGAGGCACAATCAGAAAGGGCCAAGCCTGATCCGCAGGGCCTCTGAGATCAGGGGTCAGGGGCCAGCAAACATGTGGGAGGCTGTAGGCCTTGAAGCTGAACTCATCAGCGAAAGGTTGCTATAGAACAGTGCCTCCAGGCATGCCAGTTCCCCCCATTGCAGTCTCCAAGGAGTCGCTTAGCAGGGACCAGGCTCACAGGTGCACATATCTGAACAGGTGAGGTGAGGTGCTTACACAGCCAAGTCATTTCATGCCATGAGGGGCAAGGGAAATGAAGCACACACCATGATGTTGAGAAGAGCAAGGCCACAGCAGTGTTTGGGGTGGTGAGCAAAGAGGACCCAAGTAAAGAAATGGGATGAGTGGAACCCAGTGAGACCCACACTGGGCACTGAAGGACCTTACAAGTAGCCAATAAGGGCAGATAGCAACCAACCGCAGGCTGCCTGGTGCAAACATTTCCCCAACAAGCTCTGCGCCCCAGCCAGGTGGCTGGCTCATCCTATAAAAGTGCTGCCAACCCTGAGCACCCGAGTTTCCACCCCCAGGATCCCCACGACAAAGGGAGAGTATTTACTCCTGTAAGTTGTCCTCTGACCTCCACACATACACCATGCCACATGCACCCACATACGCGCCTGCGCACACACAAAGATAAATAAATGCAAACAGCACTCTGTGATGTAAAAATAATATACATCACAGGCGAAATGTCCTAGAGGGTGTGGCTCTGTCTGGGAAGTCCAGGGCAATGGGGGGGGAGGGCTCACTGAATCCAGGGACTGACAGCAAGTGGGAGGTGGCAGCAAGGCGAGACTGAGGAGCATGATTCAGTCTCCCTGCACCATCCCCACCAAAGCAGCCATGAAGGGGCAGCAGACCTTCAGGACTCACATAATTCCCCTGCCAGCAAGCAGCCTGAAGAGGTCCCTTCCTACTCAAGTAAAGCCAGGTCCCGATTTTACCACAAAAACCATTTCAGGACCAGAGAGAATGAAGCAAATGTTGGGACAGTCACAGAAGAAGAGGACAGTGTACACACAAAATAAGAGGGGACTTTTTAAATCATTTAATGTAGTTAAACATTTAGTGTGTGTGTGTGTGTGTGTGTGTGTGTGTGTGTGTGTGTGTGTGTACATGTACTCTGGTGCATGTGTGGAGCTGAGAAGGCAAATTATAGCAGGAAGTTGGTGTTGTCCCTCCATGAGTGAGTCTCAGGAATAGAACTCAGGTTGTGATGCCTGGCAGCAGCCACCTTCACCCACTGGGACACTTCGGGGACTCCCATACCTTGTAGTCCCCAACATTCTTGTTTGAGACTTCAGGAAGATGAGCACAAGTTTTAGTGGTAATCTGGCTCTATTGTGACTCCCAGCCAGATTCTGTAGGGAGGAAGAGTGTTTTTCCCTTGCAGATTTCTTTCGTGTCCCCTATCTTTCTCTCCTTACTCATAGACTTCTTCCTGGCTCTAGAATGAGGCCTGCTTGGTGACACCCTTTCATCTCTATCACAGCCTTGTGAGATCATATGAGCAGCCAGCCCTGTTTTACAAGTAAAGACACAGAGACCTGTACCAGGAACCCAGGAGAGCCCAGCAGCTGGGTAGGGAAGTGTAGAAGAGGGGGCATGGGGCATGGAAGCTGGGTTCCCTGCTGTATGAGGGGCCGATTGCAGATGTGCATAGGTGGTGGGTTGGGGTCGGGAACCTCTATTGTGACAATGAAGTTCAGTAGTGTTGCTTTTGTCCTATAGAAGAAGATGCACATTCTGGAAACTGAGACAGTAGAATCACGGGTACAAGGCCAGGTTGGGCTACAGAACAAAGACAAGATCAGCTTTTGTAACTTAATGAAACCATGTCTCTAAAAAAAAAATGTAATAAGAAGGCTGAGCACCGACCGGGTAGATGGCCTTCCACTCAGGTCTGGTGACACCTCAGAAGGACCCTCATAGATTAAAAACATCCTAATTAGAAATGTAGTTGTATCACCTAGCTGACCAAATCTTGGCGATGGCATCTCCGTTACAAATCTAACGGAGGCATGGAGGAGGCACCATGAAGGGCACCACTGGGACAGTCAGAGAATGCCCATTTGAACTGGGATCACACCACAGCGCTGTGCTGATCATCGGCTTGGGGGTTCCAAGTGGTTCTAATGTGGTTATATTTTAAGCTGGTGTGTTGAAGCACTCCTGTAACCCTGGCCTTTGGGAAGCTGAAGCAGGAGAATTGCCATGAGTTTCAAGGCCATACTGAGTGCCAGACAAGCCTGGGCTGCCCAGCAAGCCCTGACTTAAAACAAGCGAACAAGGAAGCATGCCTTGTTCCTGAGAGGGCTGTAGTACCTGAGTGTTAAAGTGACGCCACAGGCCCTTTAAGGGAGAGAGTGCTGCTTCCTCCTGGTCAAGAGAATGCAATCCACCTCTGGCCTGAATAGAGACCTAGCAGTCTAAGCTACCCAAGCCATGAGTTAATCCATTTGGGCCAATCAATCACCTGGCTAAGGGATTCCCTCTCCCATTCCTGGGAAGCAGATTTTCCTAACACTATGCTGGAGATAATGGAGGAATAGTTATTCCTTTAAAGGGTAAATGTATTTCCCTTCCCAGAATCCTTGTTTTTGTGTGCTACCTAAGGAAGCCACCATGAGGTTCTATGGGGCTTGGTTATCTCTTTTTCTCTTTTCTGCGTCTTTCTTTCAGATGCAGACAGTGTATAATATACTTCCCCTGGTACTTTTGGCGCTTTCACTCTTTCTCTGAAGCCACTTCCCTTTTGCCACGTAGCTACTTGCCACACCTCTGTGCCTAACTCCCAAGCACATGGCTTTTCTATTTGCCTTCCTCCTCCGGGCAGTCACTGAGATGTACAGCTTGCCTGCCCTAAGGTTTTACTTTCAAATTCTAATACAATTCTCCTCATGATTCTTTTTTTAGCATTCTTATATTCTTTTAATAAGCCTCAGAACCCTGAGATAGGACCCCCATTTCCCCAATAGCATGTGGCAGCCCCCCCCAAATTTCCAATTGTAAAGCAGAGGCTAAACATTACCAAGCTTATCTCAAAGGGCTCTGTAATGAGACAGTGTGCTCCCAGCTTTGTCCCTGTGTCTCCATCTAAGGAGCTTTGGGGTAGAAAAAGCAGGAGAGACTATGGCAGGGTCTGAGGGAAGTCAGCAGTGCCAAACAGGGAAGAAGGACTCTAAAGAAAGTTACTTTGATGGCCCCAGTTGACCAGGCAACCTTGCCCATGGCGAGTAGAGCTGAGGGAGTGATGGGGAGATCTCTTTGGAAATCCTTGTACCCAGGGAACTGTGATGTAAACATTTTGTAATGTCACTAAGCCATTCAGTTAGCCTCAGGCAGGGAGGAGGAGGAAGAGACCATGACTTTGGTGGCATACAGACCTCTTCTTACTGCCCCTCAGGTCCAGGATGCTCTCTCCTAGTGGCTGTAGCCATCTCCAGAGTGGTAGGGTTTCCCAAAAAGCACTCTACCCAGGGCCCAGGACCCTGAGGTACCAGATTCTCCAACATTTTTGATAGGAGATGTCATTTTGTAAATATGTTTCTCGTATTGGTTAATGAATAAAGCACTGTTGGCCAATAGGAAAGCAAGATAGGTGGGACTAGGAGACAAGGAGGAGAGAAGAAGTAGTAAGGAGGGTCAGGATGTAGAGACTTGAGAGAGCAGAACGCCGGCCCCTCTCTCCGTTGATAAGACCACGTGGAAATGCTTAGATTAATAGAAATGGGTTAATAATTAAGACAGAGCTAGCTGATAAGAAACTAGTAACTGGCCTACAGCTTTATATCTAATATAATGTCTGTGTGTTAATTGGGGCTGGCATGGCAGTGGAACCAGACCGGCAGAAAGCATTTTCACTGGGGCTTGAAGCAGCTCCCTGACATTCCGGGATTTCCTACATGTGGGTTAGGTAGCTGAACCACAGCTTTCTGCACACAATGCCCCTAGGGTGCCATGGGTCAACAGTATCATCCTTCCATCCATGGAGGAAATCCTGGGTGGCCCATAGCTGCTATGGCTCCTAGGACACATTGGGAAATATAACTAAGGAAGTTACACTCAAGGTAAGACATGAGTGCACAAAACACTCCCTCCACTGAGAGTGGAGGCTCCTGCAGTGTAGACGCTCTCCTAGGCCCTCAGTGTTCCACCCATATGTTCAGTCCTGCAGTGTAAACACTGTCCCAGCCCCTCAGTGTTCCACCCACATGTCCAGGGTCCCACACAGAGCCTGGTGCACAGTAGATGACCATGAAGGACCTGAGTCCAAGAAGGTAAGGAGTTAGCTATGAGGTTACCAAGGAAAATTGTAGCTGATCTTGGTGGCTGTCTCCTGATGACTAAGATGTCTCTTTGGTTGAACATACTGGAAGCTGCAGTGAAGATGGAGGTTTCTGTCCCACCAAGTGCCACCACACTTCAACCCCAAATAAGCACCCAGGCGCCATATTAATTATAATTATTACTGGCTAGCTCTCTCTTAATTACTAACCCATTTCTATAATCTAAATATTTCCATGTGGTCTTGGATTACCAGAGAATTCCTGGACCTGTTACACCTTTGGAGGTTACATGGCATCTCTCTGAGGCCTTCCTCTCTCTCCTCTCTCCTCCCTCTCATAAGCCCTGCCTGTCCTTTATG